TCTCTCTCTCTCTCTCTCTCTCTCTCTCTCCTCTCTCTCTCTCTCTCTCTCTCTCTCTCTCTCTCTCTCTCTCCATATATAGATATATATTTATATAGATATATAGATATAGCTACACTGCTAACTTAAGTGAGAAAAATATACCAAAGCATTCATTGCCCCAGCTTTCTTATGATGCTGAAAGCCTGGTCGCTTCTCACGAGAGACATAAACAAGACGAGGGAGCTCATTCCCATCTGTATCAAGTCCACCACTATGGCCCAAAAATACCTGATTGAAAAAGAAAAAAAGAAATGCTAAGTAGAAATAAATAGGAAGGACGGTGATGTCACAAGTAGCAAGTGAGAAAGTTTGCCCAGGCCCCCTGTGGTTCCCATGGCAACATTACATATCAAACTCCAGAGAAAGAGGGAGACATAAATATGCATGTGGCGCTAGCAATATCTACCTGAATCATGCCAGGATGATCTCTAGGGTTATTTCCAGGCCATGGAGTTCCATCCTGCATTGTCCAACCTTCCTCAGGGGTCTTCTGTGCCTTGGCAACTAAAGCATTGATTCTTACTTTGAACTCCTCGTATTCCCTCTAATTAAGAAAAAAATATCACATTAATAATGCATTATAAAGCCAAAAATTAATTTATCCAAAATATAACCAAATTGAGTCACGACTCACGAATATGCCCAAAATATTAAGCCAAAAGAAATATAGAATTCTGACACAATTCCCAAAATGATAGACCGGAAAAACCAATAAACTGAAGCCAAAAACCTCAAAAAAAAAAAACAAAAAAACCAAATGAGATATTTAGACCCACAAAAATTATTATCAAGCACATTCATGCACAAGATTCAAATAAAAGAATTATAAATTGGTACCTTCATTGCCCGCCGTTCTTTCACAAAAGATGGCTGTATTTTGTCCTTCAAGTAATCTATTTTCTGAGCAAAATAAAATTCAGGAGCCCTCGGTTCAATGTTATGTTTCTTGCAGAAAGGTACCCACTTTCTTGCAAATTCAGATGTCTCAGAAAGGGCTTCAAAAGTTAACATTGCTGAACCATCATCAGAAACATAACAGGAAACCTTGTCAACAGGGTAATCCACAGCAAGAATGGAGAGCACAGTGTTTGCTGTGACAAGGGGGGGCTCTTTCAGAGGATCCACCGTACTAACAAAAACATCAACAGGAGCTAATTGGGAAGGCTCCCCTTCTCTGTCATACCTGTTGAAGGAGAATTTCATAAATAAACTGAACAAAGTACAGAAGTCTTGGCAATCGTAACACCCCTTTGTTAGAAGGGAAGATATCCCGTGGACTATCAAATATCATAGCCCATTGAGGTCATAGGGAGAGAATAGAACCCATGAAAATAGGACAAGAACCAAATGGTGGTCCCACTTTCTCAGTTGCTGTCCATCATTTTATCGGACACTTAGCCTCAAAAGGGCTATAGTTTTCCATGATGGATAATGGCATCTTCTCGCTGATGGAATGCTACTCAAGAAGCAAAAACAAAGCAAACAAAGAAACAAACCTCAGAGCAAGTCTATCAAGGTAGGTTTCACGGTTGACTGGAAACCATTTTGGGAACTGATCAAGAAGCCACGACAAAGCAAACCAGATCTCACATATAATAGAGACCAGCCACAGGGGATAGGCATCATTCACAGGGTGTGTCACACGATATTGCAAGAAAAAGCCCAAGATAATCAGACGGAGTATAATGACAACCCGATAGGGTGTAAGCTGGGAAGATGGAATGGGCACGACCCTGCTTAGAGGTTGGCGAGCATCATCAGCACTGCCACCAAAGCAATAGATTATGTTAGTAACAGAATGATCCCATATTCCCTGATTCCTTCCATTAATTTAATATCATTTCTAACTGTAAGATTTTGATAATCATAATAGAGTCATAAAACTCTGAATTTCCAAGAAAAGAAGATGAATAGATAAATAAATTGAGAAGCCAGTAACTGAGACTCATCATGGCTTACATTAGCAAATCCTCCCCATTCGAACCAGTCCCTTCCATATCTCCTTTCCCATCAGTATAACGACTGGTCATCTGCATCATATTTTTTTCCTGTTTAAGTTTCCAACCTTCGACTCTTTCCTTCCAGTCAACATTTCCAAGGCCATAAGAGTTTAGGTCCTTGGTTGGATCAACAATTCTGACAGGCACTGTTTCAATAGAGAAGCAGTTTAGGGCATTACTTACCCAAAAAAAAAAGTAGTAGTTTAGGGCATTGATTTAAAGAAGCCAAAAGCTATAGAAATGTAGCTGTAAGTGTGATTGTTATTCTTCTACCAAAGGAAGTGGCAAAGCTACCTGGCAAGCTAGGATCGATATAAGGAAGTGAACGTTTCTCTCCAGAGCTTAATGGACCTGAATTTAGTGTTGCCATGGGTTGGTGTTCAGGTGTGGCATCTGGTATTTCTCCTGACATCTGAAAGAACATGAAATGCATGAGCTAGGATAAAATAGAGTAAAATATTTGAGCAAAATCGAGTAGCATCAACATCCAAGTGAAATCCATAAGAAGAAAACCTTTTGATCAGAGAGGCATTAAGTCGAGGAAGAATTGCTAATTTCCTGTAATGTAGATTTTATGAAATCTTCTAGTAGTTAAAACCATTGCTATCAACACAAACTTTTCAAATAATGAAACCAACAGAAAGATTTCTCTAATATCCCCACTAAAATCAAAGTCATCTATAGACTGGGCGGTCTTCAACAAATCTTCCAAACATTTTCATTTGGAATCTTATGGCTGGGTTTCAAGCAAGACCAAATCATATCCAGAACAAAAACACTTCAGCAAGTGTTACTGACAAAAGAAAAGAGACATAGTTCAGTAAGTAAAGAAAACTATGTCTGGATCACACTGATTAGCCTTCTAAATATAGAAGCTAGTTATATGAGAAACTACCATGTAAAATTTGAGTATCACAAATGTGAGGTCAGTAGACTTTCACCAAATACAACAGGGTAACCAAATGAAAATGCAGCATGTTTCCCGTAAAACCAAAATTTCACAATCCTCCAACCCGACCAAGAATAGGATCCTTTATCGCGATTTAGAATTAGGCCTCCTGCATGAAGCTAAACACTGCAAACCTCAAACCTGAACCCTCCTCTCCCTCACATACAACTTCAAGGTGGTGGTGCTAGGAGTAGCAATGATCATATGAAAAACCACAAAAGGCCCAAAGATCTCAAGAAGAATTCAACAGGGCTATTAAGGTCATAGTATAACAGAAAACACCATAAAGGCAGTTCCATGGCATGAATAGTATTTCAAAACAAAACAAAAAAAACCTGAATTAACAAAAAAATGGGGGAAAACAAAAGAGAGAGAGAGAGGAGGGAAACGAAAGAGAGAGAGAGAGAGAGAGAGAGAGAGCATTGCTTTCAATACATTTTACACTAACATCCACAAATAAACTACAGATCATGAAAAAGTAACAATGAGTTGTTTTTTGAGAAATGTTGACTTAAAGCAACAATGAGTTGTTCAAAAACATAATCTAAATTCTCACAAATTCTGTGGGGAGGCGTATACCTGCTGACCATTGGTGAGAAGGGGTATTGGTTGTTGAGAATTGGGCCCGGAAGAAGCCGATAAATTAGCATCTTCACCCTGTCCATACATCTGCCACTGCCGCTTCGAATTGCCATTCCCGCGATAATTGAATTCATTTTCCAAGTCATCAATATCCTCTTCGTCATCATCACCCTCAACTCTGGGACTCCCTAATGAAATTTTGACAAATATAGAACTATGTAAACCTAGCCCATTTTATAAATTCTTTTGATAGTCATAAATCCAATCCAATATTTGAAACAGTCAAAGAGGATTCTTTTTTCTTAAATCAAAGACGATAGTATAAACAGAATTCTTGTCAGGAAAAAACCAGTCACTCAAACTACTCATATAAGAGACACATGATATAGATACAACACTAACACATAAGCTTACCCATCTTTTTTCTTTTGACAGTCTTAAAGCTGACCCCAGTATCAAAGACCATCAAAGACAGTAAAAATCATGTTCCAGAAAATGTAGTCACCATAACTTTTACATATATCAGATGCTTGTGATCTAGAGAGCACAAACCAGCTTACCTTTTTGCCTCTTGTATCTAGTTTTGCATTGAGGACAAGACTGGTTCCCATCTTTCCTCTCATACTCGTAGCAAGGGCGACAAACTGGGAAGGCACACTCATTGCAGGCCACAAATGGCTCCCCTGAAGCTGTGAGCCCCACAGTGTCTCCACATATTTGACATACTTGGGAGTTCAAATTCTTAATAGGCTTAGGCTGCATTCACAACAAAAGAGAAGACCCAGTGAGAACACTGAAGAAAACTGTGAAACATCTACAAAGTTCTCGATCAAAAGCAAACCCTTGAGTGTACATTACATGTTGTTTTCTGAATTTTAGCTCAAGTTCTAGTCACCAGATTTCTGGAGTGATAGACCCCATTGTACTGTAAAGAAAATCTAATAGCCCATAAATAGATTACATTAAATATAAAAAGAGATCACTCCAGTTTTTTCTGCATAGCAGAACTCACATCTACAAAAGATGCCACTTTTATTGATCAGATGAATCAGAAAGACGGAATCAAGCAAAGATAAGAATTATTCCATATCAAAACTCAAAATTAAAAAAAAAAACCATGACAATAGAGAACTTAAAATATCAACACTGATTAGATAATAATATGTAACATACGTAAACAGGGAATAATGAATTTCCCATGCGAGAGAACCTGCATTCTCAACTAGATATGGTCAACATAATTCAAAACAGATATCAAATAATGGATTTCCCATGCGAGAGAACCTACATTCTCAACTAGATATGGCTCAACGCAATTCAAAACAGATATCATGTACCAGATCCGGCAGAAATACAGCAGATCGTGGCCAACAACGAGTAACAAGAGGCACCCAAATGGGTAAACAGGAAGATCTAATATCATGAAAACAATAAGACACTAGCTAAGAATTCATCTAAGAAACCAAATATTTATCTCCACTTCCACTACATTGAGCTCAAGTATAAGCTGAAAACACCATATATATATTTCACAATTCACTAAATTGAGCTCAATTATCACTACCCAACTCTTCATTCCAATGCATCAAATAATAAGAAAAAACCAAAAAAATTGGGGAAAAAAGTATTGAGGAAGAGGATTTTACCCCAACTTCTCCTTCATGGCGGATCATAACAAACTCATTTCTCTTGTGCGAACCAGCCACCATTCCAGCATTAGCCTCCATGACTGAAACTATCTCTTCCAAAACCAATAATCAAAACCCACAAATTCCAGAGCTTTCGTAAAGCATTCGAACCACTTGAGTGTTCAATCACAAATGCTGTATATCCACCATCGAAGCCCTAATTCCCGTTATTGGCTTGCGTTAAGCCATCAAAATGTGCAGCTCTCTCTCCCTCTATATCTGAACCCTAATTTCTATGATGGCTAAGAGCCATCCCATCAAAAGTTGCAGTCTCTCTCTACCTCTCACTTTCTTTTCTCCCTTCTTTCTCTCTGCCACTTTTTTACATAAACCCCAAAACAAAAGCCAGATATCAGAACCAGATAAGACTGGCTTAACCGGTAACGTTGCAATAAAATCTAGACCAGTGAACGGCTAAACCGGTAACACGCCCTTGCTGTGTCCAGCCTGGCTGTCGACCAAGACCGGAAATCCCCGGTCTGTGCCGACGTCAGCTTCGGGCAGCTCGGGCAGCTTGACCTGCCCGAACCAGCTACTGCTGCGATGTGTCGGCGCCTTGCCCTCCAAACGTTGAGTTAAAGAACGTTGATCTCTTTTTTCTTTTCTATAATTGTATGGAATATGTTTAATTTAATCTTATTGGTATGTTTTTTGTGCCCCTATTCTAATGGAGAAAATGCCAAGCAAAATGTTTGTTTAAGCTTAATCTATTGGTTGTCTTTTTGCCCGCATTCTCTTATGCTTTGAAGAAAATGATGGTTGATTATGTTAATAGAAAATGATGATTGTTTTCTATGTAGTTTTACTATTAGCAATTTCACTTTCACATGGAAGATTTTATATTACTAGACTACCCTAGATAGTTCTCCTCCTTTCTATCCCTCGAGTTCGTCGATAGAATATAGTTGGGCTTCTTCAATTGGTTTGGTAGGCGAAAAATTAGATGGCGTTGAGAATGGCTTAGGACCTATTGTCAAGCCCTTGATAAGGTTTCTAATTTCATTCTCACCAAAGGGTAGGCACTCAAATCCCTATTAATTTATCACATTTTAACTACCAAAAAAAAAAAATCTAATGATGTTGATGCGGAAGAGAGTAGTATTTTAAAACATAGTGATCTCGATTTATATCGTCAATTCGGATGGGAATCAGTTTGGATCCCTATTAATTTATCACATTTTAACTACCAAAAAAAAAAAAATCTAATGATGTTGATGCGGAAGAGAGTAGTATTTTAAAACATAGTGATCTCGATTTATATCGTCAATTCGAATGGGAATGAGTTTGGATCGGATGGATTTCGGGATGCTATGGGTCTAAAGCCTCCTATATCTATTTCTCTTTTTATTTTAAGCATATAATATATTTTTTAGGTTCTCTTTACATTCCCACCTCATAAATCTCTATTTTAATTTCCTTTTATTCACTTTTAATATTTTCTAGATCCCCAATTCAAACTGATAAATACCCAATCTGGATCATTGATCTAATAATCTGATACCGACCTATATGTGAACGGTTTTTCCCACCAATATGGGTTTTAAAAACAGAGAGAGAGAGAGAGAGAGCATTGAGGCATTTTAAGCATGAAATGGGGTTCTTAGGGGATCAGCCATTGCAAATGGGCATTTTTTTTCCTTAACGCATCCCCCCTCCACCCCCCCACCCCCCCCCCCCCCCCCCCCCATCCCCAGCCACACACACATTAAAAAATTGAATTTTTTGAGTAAAACACCTCCATGTTTTAACCCAAGTTTTTCTCTCTGGTATAAAGACCTAGTGTAGTTTTTCTACATATTTTAGTGTCGAAATGTCTTCTTTGGGACTTTAAGGCCAATTCGACACACTTAGTGCCATATCAACTTCTTGAATCCAAGACACCATTTCAACACAAAAATGTGTCAGACTAGCTTACTGGGGGCAAGAAGTCAGCCTAGTATGTATGCCAGACTGGCTTCTTGTGGAGCAAAAGCCGTATAAAGTGTGCCAAATTGGGTTAGAGAGAGAAATTATATATTTGGGGTCATTTCGGGTCTTTTGACAAGCGAGAAACTAGGGTTAAAATGAAAGGGTATTATTGGTCCTATAAAAGTTAACTTTTCAATTGAAAGGTAAGTCCTAAATATACAAAATTCAGGGTTCACGCTATGGTTTCAGAAGTACTTAGGGGCATACTAACAAAGCAAGGGTATCTATAATTTTTCATTTTCAAAACCTTTGCTGGCACCAAAAGTATATTTATAATAAAATTTAGAAATATACACTTTGATTTGATTATTTAAAGTTACAACTTTATACAAACCGCACCCCAAACTAAATCAGGTAGACCCACCGAAACAAGGGTAACATTGAATGGTTGTGCTTACAGGAGCCAGCCCAATAAAACCCCTCAAAGGGCAATCTTGTCTTTTGGATGATAAAATATTCTATCATTTTGTTTTATTGCACCTATCGGTTGTTAACTTGTAATAATGCACTATTTTAGGGAAATATTGTAATAAGAATTAGGTTGGGGGTCACATTGTAGCATGGACTTAAGGTTTCCAATACCGAGTGTCGGTGAGAGGAGAGAAATGCATCACATGGATCTTTGTGTTTTGCTTTCTTTCGTCCTCGCATGGGTGGACCCTCATTAAAAAAAAAAAAAAGTGACCAACTTTATCTTACATCATAGAGATAAACCAAAGTAACAAGCAACCTGAGGCCATAGCATGTGAAATATATAATGGCTAGATTACCACAATTATATTGACACCGAAGAAGGGTAACCCAATTATATTGATCTTAATAAATCTTCTTTTAGGATGTCTTAAAGCCAATGTTTAAAGAAATGGATAGGTGATCTGGATCGCCTATCCTAAAACCAGTCTAAATCAACGAATCAGCAGTCTAGATCGTTGGATCAGCCAGATCTGGCGTTAAAAATCTTTTTAAAAAGTATTAAAAATCATTATAAATGTTATTTTTTTAATTTTCAAAAAAAAAAAAATTATAGTGCATTATGGACTTTCAATATTGTTACAAAATACAAGAATGTTGACATGTTGTTTGTTGTTTGAGTGCCTGTTGATATTAATTTTGATAATAATTTTTATATAGTACTTCTAAAAAGAAAAAAAAATACTCATTTTATGACTTTTAGTGAAGAAATGAGGGAAAAAACGATTTTTGTGATTTTTTATACTAATTTCGTGATCCCAATTGTGACTTTTGATACTAAGTTATTCTTTTTTTGTATTTTTATATTAATTTTATTATACGAATTGTGATTTTGTGAATGCCTCTCTCTATCTCTCTTAAAATTGATCTTATTTATGCAAATATTATTCATGTCACTCTTGTTGTAGAATCTCTCTCTCTTACAAACATTTTTATCTCTATTATGCAAATATTCTTTAATGTTGAAAGCACAACAACTTTTAATTATTCATGATTTTTGTATATGAAACTTAGAGCAATTGATGAGTATTTAGCATACCAAGTAAAGTATTTGGTCGAAGGAAACTTACTTATTTGCAACATTAGGGGTTGGGATTAGTGGCATATCGGGTAGCTTGGGGAAGCATTTGGGGGCTTTGCCACTATAAAATACCATTCCATCTCAAAATGAATGTAGCCATTCCATCTCAAAATGAATGTAGCCGCTTAACCTTGCAAGAGCGGGGCCAATCCATGAAAATGTGAGGCCGGCCATCTCCATCTTTAAGGGCAGCTGATGGTGAACCAAGCGAGTTAGAGTCACAAAGACTTCTAACCACCGGTTTATGAGCAGTAGATGACGAGCCAAGCGAGTCACAAGAACCCTTAACCACCGGCTTATGAGTAGTTGATAGCGAACCATGTGAGTCAAAGTCACAAAGATCCCAAACCGCCAACCTATGATCAGGTATTAGCGAACTGAACAAGTTAGAGTGGCGAAAACTTTTAACCACCAGCTTATGAGCAGATAACGAACTAAGCAAGTCAAAGTCACGAAGACTTCTAACAGCAGTCTTATAAGCAATTGGTGGTGAACCAAGCGAGTTAAAGTCACGAAGAATTTTATTTATTTTTTAGTAAGTGTGATATTCATTAAGGTAATAAAAAGTTACAGGTCACAAAGACTTGTAACCGCCAGCTTATGTGCAATTGATAGCTAACCAAGCGAGTCAGAGTCGCGAAGGCCTCTAACTGTTTGCTTATAAGCAACTGGTGGTGAACCAAGCGAGTTAGGCCTACACAGACTTTTAACTGTCGGTTTATGAGCGATCTTTAACGAAAAGGGAATCCATATAGTCAAGGTTGGAGACCAAGAAGCTTGACATGGAAAACCTGAAGGGTGCATAGACGGAGGCATGGCTTCGATATTCTTCACGCTCTTGGAGCCTGTTTCCCGATAGCGAGCATTGTGAGTTTCACGTGATGGCGTAAACATCTGGTGTTCAAAGAAACATCACGATCAGTAGAAAAGATCTCGCTACTGCAATTCAATACTTGCTGGCGTGGACTTGGATAAGTCAAGACAACTCGGAGTGGCCTACTGCCTACAACGATATCAATCTCAGGCAAAGCCATGTGTTTTAATTTGGCTTTGGAGGGTTGCAGCTTGCAGGCATGGACTTGGATAAGTCAAGACAGCTCGAAGTGCCCTACTGCTTGCAACGATATCAACCTCAGGCAAAGCCAAGCGTTTTAATTTGGCTTGGAGGTTTGCAGCTTGCATCTCTACGCTGCACCCCGTTTTTCTACTATGCCGGGCCTAACCAAAGTTTTGCTGAGAATGGGCTGGTGTGCCAGCATGGAAAGCATGAGCGAGACGTCTATAGTCCCAACCAAGAATGATGTTGCAACAACAACCATAAAAAACACTATCTTTGACGACCAGTGCATAACACAGGGGATTTCTCGTCAAGGTATATATATATATATATATATAAAGTGACTGACCCACAGGGAAACTCCTATGCAGAGAGAAGTTATTTATTTTTCTTGACCCAATCAGAGTTGAAGGGTGAACTTGTCCCCAGTAGAGTCGTCAGAGATTTGAACACTCCGAAAAT